ATTTTTATTTATTAATAATTTATTTTAAAAAAATTTAAAATTAATTTATAAATAATTATAATAAATAAAAATTAAATTAGATAAGAATTTAAAAAAAATTGTTAAAGAAAAGTGATAATTAGATTTAAGATTAAAAAAGAAAATGAAACCAAATATTCTATAAATCCAATCCGTGCCTATCCTAATGCTGGGTTTAAAATATTTATAGGGGAGAGTGTGTTGTGTTGAATTCTAATTCCACAATCATTCCATTTAAGGCTTTGAAGTGAGTGTTTAAACATTAAACATGGCCAATATGAAGCATATCGGAAAGAAAGCATGTGTGATCGGTGGCAGTGGATTTATGGCTTCTTTGTTGATCAAGCAGTTGCTTCAAAAGGGTTATGCTGTTAATACCACTGTTAGAGACCCATGTACCTCTCTCTCTCTCTCTTACTCTTCTATGTTGCTCATCATTTCTAAACTCTGCTCTAAGTCATGGAGCCTGATTTCTTGTTAATATTAAAATAATATTTAAACAGTTAGAAGCTTCGACTTGTCTATCACAAATTAATATTTAGTTGTGAGTAAATTCACTGACTCATTCCTGAAAAAAAAAAAATCTCTTTAACCAAATGATCTCTTATAGAAACTTATTACTTATTTTGGGGTTGTTTTTTAAACTTTTTCTTGTAGTTAACTTCAGAAAACGCAACAATGTCCTGTGTGAACTGAAAACGCAGTAAACCACTGCATCTTCAATGTACAGTACACGTGGAAGTTAGATGTTGTCTACGTGTACAAGATGCAATGAATAGTGTGTTGTGTTGTGTTGTGTCTTTCTTTTTTAATTTTATTTTTTTATGTGTTAAACTGTTAATGCACTATTGTACTGCCTTTTTTAAATATATTTTTTAAACGTGTTAAGGCACCACCATGCTGTGTTTTCCTTTTTACCTACTAAACACAGCACAGCATAATGACTTTTGTGGAGATGATATTAAATGGGCACATTATATGGTTAATCTTTCATCCTCTATGACTATGACCAATAAACTGCAGAATAATTTGTTCGTAGTTATGAAAGGAAATAAATTAATAAATAAGAAGTGGAAAAGCAGAGAAATTCCTATTAACAAATGAAATCTGTCCTGGTTGTTGGTTGGTAGTTCACCACAAACACGTATGGTTTCATGCCATCAATGTTATTAAATATGTTTTTAATTTTATGTAAATAAGATAACATTTAGTTCTAGTTTCTCAAAAATAAATTGTCTCATTTTAGCCCTCATTTATAAAATTCTGTTACTTGTGGTCCTTAATTCCTGGAGTTGCATTGAAGAGTAATAGAGGATAGAGTCCAAATAAGATTTTTCTGTGAACTAAAAATTTATGTATTTACTGCAGGTAACCCCCAAAAAATATTTCACCTAGTGGCACTGGAAAGTTTGGGCAATCTAAAAATATTTGGAGCAGATTTAACAGTGGAAGAAGATTTTGATGCCCCTTTATCAGGCTGTGAACTTGTATTCCAATTTGCTACACCTGTCAACTTTTCTTCTGAAGACCCTGAGGTAGACTGAACCCTGAAATGAAATTGCATTCTAAATTTTACATGTGTGTGTGAATTGATAATAAACTAATCAAAAAATGCTTCTGCAAACTACTATTCAGAATGACATGATCAAGCCAGCAATCAGAGGCGTGTTGAATGTGTTGAAAGCATGTGCTCGAGCAAAAGAAGTGAAACGAGTCATCTTAACATCTTCAACAGCTGCGGTAACTATTAACCAACTCAATGGGACAGGTCTTGTTATGGATGAAAGCAATTGGACTGATGTTGGGTACTTGAACACTGCAAAGCCACATAGTTGGGTAAATAACCAAACCTTGATCACAACTTAAGATGGGTTTGTGCAATGACACTTCACAAATCCCTGTCTCATTCAGAGCCTGTTTGAATACATACTTAAGAGTTAGGAGAGCTTTTGAAAATTTCTTTACTAAAAATAAAGAACTTTTTCTAAATAAAAAGTCTTATGAAACTTTACTAAACTTGTATCCCAACAGACTTTCAATGTCATTCCCAATTGAAAAGGATTATGCCCTTGTTTGTTTACTAGTTAAATGATTTTGTTTTGTAAAATTTGATTATCTCTAAGTACATTTGAAAATTGTTTGTACTTGAGCACATTCCAAAATTGTTTGATTGAGAAAATTGGTGGTGTAATGTGAATATAAAACATTTTTTTAAAACAAAAAAGTAAGAAGGGAATCACACAGACCATATCTCATTATATAGATTATGAAAGTAAAATTCATGTATATATGTGTAGGGATATCCTGCATCCAAAGCACAAGCAGAGAAGGCTGCATGGAAATTTGCTGAAGAAAATAACATTGATCTCATCACTGTGATACCTACTCTCACAACTGGCCCTTCTATCACTCAAGACATCCCAACCAGTGTTGGCTTGGCCACATCCCTTATAACAGGTTCAAAAACTACCACATCCACTACACCAATTGACTCACGAATGTTTTAACTTTTAATGCCATTTTGTTGACATCTTGCAGGGAATGATTTCTTCTTAAAGGCTTTGAGAGGTATGCAATTGCTGTCAGGTTCAATATCCATCACTCATGTGGAGGATATTTGCCGAGCACATATATTTGTGGCAGAGAAAGAATCAGCTTCTGGACGTTACATTGTTTGTGCTCACAATACTAGTGTTCCTGAGCTTGCAAAGTTTCTTAGCAAAAGATACCCTCAGTATAAAATTCAAACCGAGTAAGCTTCTAACCTCACATTTGGTGTGAATAAGGACATTTAATCTCTCTAATTTTAAAGATACGAAATTTTGATCCTTCAATCAAATTGATCCTACTGGTCTCAATTATGATATACTCTCCCCTCTTTCAAATATTAAGTATAAAAATTTGTGTGCATGTCGGTCTTATATGTAAACTAATTCAACTAATTTAGCTTTATTTAATGTATCATTTTTAAAGTATTATTCATTTAATTAAGATTTTATTTTTGGTGACATTTTCTTTATTCTTGATATAAAGTTTGAATGAAGGGTAATTTAGAAGAAAAAATATTTTACAAATGAAATTGCTACAATTAAATAACAGTAATTAACATGGATTAAATTTATTTTTGTTTATATTTGAGTCTGCTAGGAGTAGAAGCTCATGAGTTGTATGTTAAAACTTGGCAGACAATATCTAATTTGCAGGAGAAATTATCTTCAATATTTGTGTTAGTTTTAACCAATAAGGTTACCCCCTTAATTAAAGTACTGGTGCCAGACTAGAGAAATTTTATTATGCAGAACAATTTCATTAACATGAATTTATTAGGAATATGCATTGTATTGATTTGGCTTGAAAGGACTTCATGTTGCACTTTTATTTGATGGTATAGAAACATATATGTTTTCTATTGTACTGAAGTCAAGCACCACCACTATGTAATTGTAGGTTAATTTGATGATATCCCCTACAAGGCAAAGTTAGTCATCTCTTCTGAGAAGCTCATCAAAGAAGGGTTCAGTTTTAAGTACGGAATTGAAGAAATTTTTGACCAAAGTGTGGAGTACTTAAGGAGTAAGGGGGCCCTCAAGAACTAAATTTTGATGTTCTTGCAGACTCTCCCATTGTTATGTAATAGCAATCTACTATCAGGTTGAGTACAAATTAGGCGAATAACTTCAAAATAAGGGTATGAAATGTTATTTGATCATAGATCCTCCTCTTGTCAATGTCGAGAAATTAGAAATAGTGGAGAAATTTTGTTAGTTAAATGAATAATTGAACTACATGTTTCTTTCGCACCTAAGGTAGAATGAAAATAAAATATTTAATATTTTACGAGAACTAAATCATGACCGGATACGATATACATCATGTTTCAATAGCAAAATTATTCTTTCATAAAAATCATATATAATAATGATTTACTTGTAACGACGATAATAATAATAATAAATAATAATGGAGATGTTTATATTTTGTAATGATGATAGTGATAAAAATGGTGGTAATGATAAGAGTGAATAAGTAGTAACATTAAATCTTTAGAAGAATTTTTGTTATTAATAGTAATCGTATCTAACTTAAATAAAATTATTTCCCACAAAAGATATTTGTAGTCTCTTAAAAAAAATAGATGAACTTATTTTTTTACACTCCTTTTTAATTTAAAGTTTAATATGTAATTATTTATTAAAGTTTAGTTTAAGTTTAATACATCATTTGGTTCATAAACTTTTTAAGATTCTTAATTAGATCCCTAAAATAAAAATTGTAACTATTCTTAATATTCACTTATTTTAACAATCATGTTAGATTATTATTTTGTGCTATCCAAAAATATTTTGTAAAATTTTATATTATAAACAAATTTTTAACCTCAATGACTATATTACAAAAAAAATGTAAAAAGATGAAAGACTTAATTAAAAAAAATAGTTTAGGGAGTTAATTAATACTTTACAAAACAATTTAAGGACCAATTGATAAGGGTGTTCATGAGTTGGTTTGGTTTAGATTTTGGATAAATTAAAGTCTAAACCAATCAATTTTATTTGTTTTGGTTTAGATTGGATTTACCAAAAAATAATTGTGATTCAAATCAAACTAAATCAATCAACAATGGATTGATTAGCTTCAAATTATTTGTTTTTCTAGAGAAAAAAATGGTAGATATTAATTTTTTAAAAAATATAAGCAATAGATTATTTTATCCCAAAATTTAAATAAAAATATATTATTAAAAGATTGTAAATAACAATCAAATATAAATAATAAAAAATTAATGTAGAAAATATGAAATTAAAGTAATCAAACATAACCTAATATTTGAGATGAATGTATTCGAACATTTAAAATTAAGAAAGTCCCTTAAACATAACTAAATTATCTAAGTTACAATTATTATCTAAGTAGTCTTTATGCATTATAATATAATCATTATGTATTGTTAATGAAATTAAAATATTATTAAATAATATTAAAATAATAATTTTAATTGATTCGATTCTTGAATCATATTTGTAAAATGCAAATATGTAATCCAAACTAATTAAGATTTAATTGATTTGAATCTGATTTGATCTAATCAAGAAAAAAAAATCAAACCAACTTTTTGATTTGGTTTGAGTCATCAATTTTAAAAGATTGTTTGAACAATCAAATACCACTACCAAGTGACGTATTAAACTTTTAGTATATTTTAGCAAGTGACTCGTGACATTATAAATAATTAAAAGTTTATTTTAATACAAATTAAAAGGATTTTTGAAAAAATCACCAGGGGTTAATCTAGTGGTTAGGTGGGGAGAGGTTGGGGTAGTTAAAAGTATAAAGACCTAGATTTAGTTCTGATTACGACCATCTTTCTAATCTTTCATATTTTTAACAAAAAAAAGAATTTTTTTGAAAACTTGTCGATTGAAAATAAAAAGCTTATTTCTACGGGGAATCTTTCAAAAATATTTCTAAGTGTGTATAAAAAAACTCTAACTTTAAATATTTATTATTGAAATTTTATAATGTGTACCTGAATTAAAAAATTTGGATGAAGTTTCTAAGCTTCGAAGCCTACAATAAAGATGTTCAAAACTTCTTTTCATCTCATAAATTCCTAAAATCTTTAGTAAGATGTTTAAAATTAATTGCAAGTAATGCACGCAAATAAAGAAATAAAAGTCCATAATTATTGACCATTGGTAAGATGTTTATCAATTGTTAATTTCTTATAAATTTTGAGTCTTTATTTATTATACTTTATTTTTCTCTTACAAATGTGACTTTACCTTTATTTAATATTTTTATTATATTTTAAAGAAATTCTCAGATTATTAATTGTATTCTTATTTTCCGAGGATATAAATTATTTTCATATGTTACGATTTTGTATTCTTAAATCTCAAATTTACTTACTTTAAAGTTTTGACTTTTATATTGGTAAAAAAAATTACTTTTATATTAAAATTTATTTTCCATCACAAATTTTAACTATCTATATTTTTCTTTTTGAATTTATTCTTTTTTCCTTTATCTAAGTTACTTATAATTTTTTTACTTTAAATTAAAATATCCATACAAGATTCTCACTAGTTTTGTGTTAAAGAGGATTACATTCTTATTTCTAAGAGTTTTAATATAGTTATTCAAAATAATGATAGGAATATTTTTCTGTAATATTTCTTTATTCATCATATTTACGATGACGACACTAAAATCCAAATTTACACCGCATATTGCTCTAATAATCCTGGATTTATTAACAGGTAGTTCTTTTTTTTCTATTTATATATTCACAACCAATGCATCACAGCTTGATAAATTAAGTTTGGAAGATATTAAATAATATAATTAAAATCAACTTTTATATATTAAATATGAATGATTATTTTGTATGAAAATGTTTTTAACTATTATTCTTGAATGGGAATGTTTTGAGATATTCTTTTAATTTATCTAATTTAATTTTTAATTTATCATATTAACTTTTATATATTAAATATAAATAATTATTTTATACAAGAGGAAGATGAGAGAATTTGAAAAGATTCTCTTAACTTTTTATCTAATTTTATTTTATATTTATTTATGAATTAAATTTTAATATTTTTAAAATAAATTATTAATAGATAAAAATAATTGTGTTACAATATAATTTATTTATTTTAAATCTAAAACATAAATTATATATTTTAAAAAAATTATTTATACAAACTTTAAACATAATGTGGATATATATATATATATAATGTTTATTTGTACATATAATTTATTATAAATTTTATTATATATAACAAATATTTAAACCGTACGTGAAACGCACGTACTACTGGTATTTATTAAAAGATACTGATATTAAAAATAAAAAATAAAAACTGAGAAGTATATAATTAAACGACCATTCCTTAGTTAGGTGTGTAAGTTAATTTATCTCATTGAAAGGTCTTGTACAGTTCTACTCTTTTGGCAAGAAAATAAGAAAAAGAAAAAAGCACCTTTCAAGAAAATCTTGGAATTTATGTGCATTTCAATTCAATATCTTTAGGCCCCATGTATATTTTTTTGGAAGTGAAGGACAGTGATGCCACACTGACGCAACTGTTTATCATTTCAGAGAATAACTGTCCCATATATAATTTATTTAAGGCTAAAAATCTAATTTAGTTCTTTATTTTAATTTAGTCTTATTTTAATTTTTTGTCTCAATTTAGTCCTTAATAAATTAAATTATTGCAATGTTAGACTTCTGTATAAATTATTTAAACAGAGTTAACTATTATTCACGTGGATGCATAGGTGAATGCCAAATTTTTCAATGCATCTGGAAACAGAATAGGCCTTTCTGGTTCAGAATGTCAAACACGGTTGTGAATCGTGCAAGGAAAAAGACCCAAGGTACAAAGCATTCCAAACACTGAATTTGGTAATATTGTCAATGGGGATTGATAACTTCAATTGTTAAACATTTGGGCTATACAATGTATCATTAAGGACAATGCAGTGTATCACTAAGGACAATATAGCAAGTTTTATTTCATTATTAGTCAAACTGGAGTGAACCACTTACTACCAAATTGGCACTATACCGTCAAGGATGAAACGACATGGTGTTTCCCTTTGAAGTCATTGACCGATGTACCCCAACAACAACAACCTGTTGTTGAGGAGGTACAACCTAAAGTAAAGACGATACACAGGACAAACATTTCACCACACAACCACATGTACAGGTAGATAATGCTGATATCCTATTAGTCATTCAGTGTTATATGGTGGATAAGATGTATTATTGACACCTTTAGTATTATTCAGATGATTTCTCTTCTTAGTAATTTCTTTGAATAACTTTTTTAGTATATGTTATGTTATGTTATGAATTTTTGTTTTCAGTTTCTAAACCATATTTCTGTCTTTGAATTTATGATATTTTATGAATTTTTATTTTATTTTTGAATCACATTGCGACATTTTGTTGAAAGTTGGTTGGCATTTTGGAACGGTCCCTTCTAAAATCAAAACGGCCCATTCTAAAACCAGAACGGCCTCGTTCTGGATTCAGAACAGCCCATTCTACTGCACTCGTGGTGTGTTAATTTTGCAAATGGAACGGCCTGTTCCAAATTCAAAATTAACACACAACATGTGCAACCAGAACGGGGCGTTCTGATTTCAGAACGAATCGTTCCGGTTCCAGATGCATTAAAGAAATTTGGCATCTATCTATGCATCTACGTGGCATCCACGAGGCCAACAGTCAACTCGGTTTAAATAATTTGGGCGAAAATCTGACATTGCAACAATTTAATTTATTAGGGACTAAATTGAGACAAAAAATTAAAGTGAGACTAAATTAAAACAAACAATTATAACAAGGGACTAAATTAGGTTTTTAGCCTTTATTTAACTATAATTGAAAATTGAAAATTGAAATACAAATAACACATGGTTTGTCGATTGTTATTTAAGTTTTTTATTTCGGTGTATTTTTTTTTTGTGTGGCCGTTTGTCATTTAAGTTTATGCACGTTTTGTATCCGAAAATGCATGTAATATTTATGTGAATTTGACTATATGAATTAGACTAGGTGCATGTCTAGATTAGTTGTGAATTTTTGTTTAATAACCAATTACATTTTCAATTGATTTTCTTTAAAAGCCAATTTTAATAAAATCAATTTGATGTTTTACTACGGTAAATAAGTAATGATTTTAAAATTTGATGTAGCTGTCTGGATTGTATAAAAACATCATTTTATGCAATAAACTAATAAAAAGGGTATGAAATAATTTATTTAGATTAAATATTTTTAAAATTATCAACAAGTTGTTGGTTAAAATGAAACTAGACACTAGACCTCTTATGTAATGTAGATTAAGAAATGGATAAATATTTTGCACGTTGACAATTTTTTTCTTCTTAAAACTGATAATTGAGGTGAGAAAATTGTTAGAATTGTCCAATAATCAGACCTGCTGATTATAATATAAAAAATGTTCATGAGTGAATTTAAAGATAAAAAGGCCAATGTTATAAAAAAATTATATTTTATTTAGATGACAAATACTTTAAAAAGATATAAAATGTAATGAACAGTTCTTTCCATAAATTTTTTGTTAAATTCCCATAAATTATTCAAGACATTTTTGGTTCATTTGAGATTTATTTTTCTCATGATTTTCACCCTATTTATAATTTTTTTCATTTTTAAATAAGTTGTGTTTAATGGTTAATGATACAATTTTCACATCTTGAATCATTAAAATAAACTCAAAACCATATCACATAATTAAAAATAACAATTATTTCAGAAAATTCAAATTGACCCAATTTAAAAAATAAATCATCACAATAAATCTTTAAAATAATATAAACGACTAAAAATATCATTTAACTTAAAATTTACTTTAACTCACAATTGGTTAAGGATAAATAAATATGATTATCAATGTATAGTTAATAATAATAGGGATTATTACAATGTTTAAGAGTGGTTAATTTTTATCTTACAGCGATAACAGTGTCACAAAATTATCGAATTGTCTAATAATAATTAATGTTATTTTAATACTTAATAAGTTAATATTAACAATATGCATAATTATATATAATTACATTTGTTATTATAAATTATTTATAAGATAAGATTAACCAAATTTATTTTGCTATATTCGTACGTGCTTCTGCTATACGATTGAACGTTAGATAGATGATGGTAGATGAGTTTAAGATTTTCAGTTCAGTTTTGCATGTTTGATTGTGAAGAAAATATTAGTAATAACTAGACATATTAACAAAAGATGAAAGTTATGTCCCCGGAGACTTGTCGATGTTGAGTCAGCTTTAATTTTGAAGAAACAGCTTTTTGTATTAAGTAACTGAAACACTAAAGTTATTTAAGGAGCTTTTGTACTCAGGGAGGACCAAAAAACTGTCCTAAGAGTAAGTTTCATTCTTTCAAGTTTGAAGTGTGTGAAAGAGAGAACATGGCAAGCATCAAGCCAATCGGAAAGAAAGCATGTGTGATCGGTGGCAGTGGATTTATGGCTTCTTTGTTGGTCAAGCAGTTGCTTCAAAAGGGTTATGCTGTCAATACCACTGTTAGAGACCCAGGTCTCTTCCTCTCCCTATGAAGTAAAATTGTTTTATTTTGTCAAGAAAATATTTTAAGGGCAAAAACTTATATATATATAATGCTTGTTTCGAGGGTGGAAAAGAAAATTTAAGTTGGAGAAAATAGAATTAAATCTTCTTCACACCTATTTTAATTCTTAGTAGCTGAGACTCATTTGTCTGATAAGACCATCCTGAACATGTGTATTTCTCTCTACTGTGATTAGAAAGCGACATGAGTGATAAAAAGAGGAGAAAAAATGGTAACATTTTGAAAACTATACTTGACCTTAATAATTTTATTTATGCAATTTAAAGGTACAATTTGTTAGGTATTCTTCCTTGCTCTTGTTATTGTCTAAAGTTCTTTCATAGCCTGTCACAAAATTATCGAATTGTCTAATAATAATTAATGTTATTTTAATACTTAATAAGTTAATATTAACAATATGCATAATTATATATAATTACATTTGTTATTATAAATTATTTATAAGATAAGATTAACCAAATTTATTTTGCTATATTCGTACGTGCTTCTGCTATACGATTGAACGTTAGATAGATGATGGTAGATGAGTTTAAGTTTTTCAGTTCAGTTTTGCATGTTTGATTGTGAAGAAAATATTAGTAATAACCAGACATATTAATAAAAGGTGAAAGTTATTTTTTGTCCCCGGAGACTTGTCGATGTTGAGTCGTTGGTAGCAACACACCACCAAACTCTATCACGTGTTCACCTTTAATTTTGAAGAAACAGCTTTTTGTATTAAGTAACTGAAACACTAAAGTTATTTAAGGAGCTTTTGTACTCAGGGAGGACCAAAAAACTGTCCTAAGAGTAAGTTTCATTCTTTCAAGTTTGAAGTGTGTGAAAGAGAGAACATGGCAAGCATCAAGCCAATCGGAAAGAAAGCATGTGTGATCGGTGGCAGTGGATTTATGGCTTCTTTGTTGGTCAAGCAGTTGCTTCAAAAGGGTTATGCTGTCAATACCACTGTTAGAGACCCAGGTCTCTTCCTCTCCCTATGAAGTAAAATTGTTTTATTTTGTCAAGAAAATATTTTAAGGGCAAAAACTTATATATATATAATGCTTGTTTCGAGGGTGGAAAAGAAAATTTAAGTTGGAGAAAATAGAATTAAATCTTCTTCACACCTATTTTAATTCTTAGTAGCTGAGACTCATTTGTCTGATAAGACCATCCTGAACATGTGTATTTCTCTCTACTGTGATTAGAAAGCGACATGAGTGATAAAAAGAGGAGAAAAAATGGTAACATTTTGAAAACTATACTTGACCTTAATAATTTTATTTATGCAATTTAAAGGTACAATTTGTTAGGTATTCTTCCTTGCTCTTGTTATTGTCTAAAGTTCTTTCATAGCCTTTTGTTTTTGTACTAATAAAAACTGAAAACAAAAGCTACGAAAAGGTACTTTTAAGACTAGTTGGTCCGACAGGTGTTGTAGTTAGTCTTGTCTCAAGGACTTAAATTCGAATCTTAGATCTAATAAAAAGATGATATTAGAAGAGATAATCTTAATATAGTTGGTAGACTATGACAAGAAGTACTAGTCTACCAGTGTTCCTGAGCTTGCAAAGTTTCTAAGCAAAAGATACCCTCAGTATAAAATTCAAACTGAGTAAGCTTCTAACCTCACATTTGGTGTGAAATGTTTAACCAAAGGTCAATTCCCTTTTTCATTTTATTGTTTATTCACGGAACCCCTTTCCTTAGTTATAGATTAAATATTGTGATGCGAGATTAAAGTCAAAGAAATAAGAAGCACAATTTTATGGATTTATATGTCGTATACAATATCTATCTGTCACAGAATTTCTCTGCATTTGTATTGGTTTCAACCAATTATATGGACATGCATTAGGAATCTACATTGTGTTGATTTGGCTTCATACTGCACTAATGTTTTAACCCTTGATGTAACTGATTCTGATTGCTTCCTTACCCAAACCGTTGAAAATGTCTCTGTTTCTTTCTAAGACAAGTATATTTTCTAATTGCAGATTTGATGATTGTCCCTCAAAGGCAAAGTTGGTAATCTCTTCTGAAAAGCTTGTCAAAGAAGGATTCAGTTTCAAGTATGGGATTGAAGAGATTTATGATCTGACTCTGGAGTACTTGCGGAGCAAAGGGGCCTTAAAGAACTGAATTTTGAAAATTTTATTGGTCTAGCAAACTCTCAGCTTGTTATGTAGTAGCAGTTTGCGAATAAATCGAGGGGAATAGTAGGTTCGTCACTGTCGATCCACTACTGTATTACCACCTCCTTAAATTACAATCTATGATATTCCCAGTTTGTTAAAAAGAGAGCTCAATCACTATTGAGTTTGGATTTTAATATGCTTTTTGCTTAAATTTTCTCTCCATGATTTTACTACAAGCGCATATAATAAGTGCTTAAATAATCAGGCATGCTCATCAGAAACTCATTTGGACATAAGGGCTTTTCCTCATTCGATTTAGATCGGATTTTAGGCATAAAATCATCTTATTCGAAAAAAGTAAAACTTGTGTTGCAATTTGAATTAGTTAAAATACAATATCATGTCCGATTCAATTCAATTTGGTTCAATATCATGTTTTTAATTAAAGCCTCTTTATAGGCTTAAATATGTTTTTAGTCCTTTAAATTTAAGATAAATTTATTTTTGTCTCTCAAATTTAAAATTGTTATTTTTAGTCTCTTAAATTTTTAAAAATTTTATTTTAGTCTCTTAGATCACCAATAACATATTTGAAAGTGACTAATTAAGACAGTTATGCAATATCAACCAGATTTAATATGATATTTTCACTAATAAGGACACTAATAGATAGATCTTATGTAATAATGTTTGATAAATTTCTTAACAAAATTTGAATATAAAGATTAAAATAAATTTTTTTGAAATTACAAGAACTAAAAACAATAATTTTAAATTTGAGAAACCAAAGACAGATACCTTAAATACGAGGGACTAAAAATATATTTAATTCCTTTTTATATCTGATAACTATCATATCGGTAATCACTGTAAGCAATTAACTTTCTTACAAATGATTATACTGTCACGAGAATAGGCTCGCGATGAGGTGAAAAGTTATGAACGATGAAAATAAGTCATTTTTTTGCATGCTCGCGAACCATGAAGTTTACTCAACATACTTTTTTTAACCCTCACACTCCCCACCTATACTTTTTACTTATTGAACTTGTGTGTAGGATTCGGGATTCCCCTAACAAAATCACGATATTATACCCCATCTATTTCACAATTTGAATTGCTAAGTAAACAAAATAAAATGCATATACTAATTTCGCATCCAAAAGCACTAGCAGATTCACGGATTAATCGGCTATGCAATCATCTATCTCATAGTTCTAGTGTGGTAAAGAAGTTAAATCGTTAAGTGAACAAAAGAAAAAAAACTCCAAAAGCACTAGCAAACTCATAAAAATCATCGGCTATGTAATCTGCGCAGCATCTTTGTACTCTCAATTGTTGAAAACTTGTCAGTTTCAAGCTGGTCCACTTCAATGGAGACTTCCTTTAATGCATCAGAAGATGCTCGACTATGATTTTTACTATGCCTCTTACGAAGCTGAGATAATTCTTGAACAATGTCGTACATCGGAGGTCGGCTTTTAGAGACTTCATTAACACATTTGAATGCAAGTGAAGCCAAGTCATTAAGATTATGCAAATCATACTTTCCGTTTAATTGCATGTCAACAATTTCTTCCCATCCAACCTTACCCTCACCTTCCATTGCTGCCTAATCATAATCAGAAAGAAATGTTATGTCAATCCTTAGTATTTTACTCATTTTCAGATGCATCAAGATACATGCATGCATCACAGCACAAGCACACACATAGAAGTCCACATGCAGATACTGTTCTTACTAGATTTACATATTCCATGAGCCCTTGCTGTGGATTCCTGCCAGTGATAAGCTCAAATAGTAGTACACCAAAACTATATACATCACTTTTCTTAGTAAAGGTTCTTGTAGACAAATACTCAGGATCAAGATATCCGAAAGTTCCTCTGATATTTGATGTGCGAGGTTTGATCATCTCTGGTCTGGAGAGCCCGAAGTCAGTGACCTGCCCAATTAAGTATAGATGTTAAACATGTATAGGAAAGAAAGGCTTAAGCTTCAATATGGACAAAAACAAGTGAAGGGATATAAGGGAAAAGGAAAACTGCATTAGCATATTTACAAAATAAGGTATCATTGTCAGAAAAGCTTCCTTTGAATGAAGAAAACTATGAGTTTAGTTCTTCCTAACAACGTTTTGAAGAAAGTAGAGATTCTTAGTATCATTTTGATGAATATATAGAAAAGGAGAATGAGGGAAATGCAATGCATAAATGAAAGAACAAAGAACAAGGAAAAAAAAAACAAAAAACAAAAAACAAAGATTTCCCAGCATTAATAATGCACAAAATGAACATTTTAAAGTATCGTCAGCATTGAACATCCCTCTTCATCTTTGTGCGAACTAAATGTGCAAAGCTTACCTTGGCTCTCATAGAATGGTCCAAAAGTATGTTGGAAGATTTGATGTCACGATGCACAACAGGTGGAGAAGCCTGCAATAAGTTGTTTTTTAAAAATAAGAAACCAAAAGTAAACTTAATCCATTAGATCTTCTCCATGTGTAAGTTTACCAATTTAGTTACTAAGATCTGAGTGTACTATATACCCCATAATGTAGATATTCCAGTCCCCTTGCAACATCTAGTGCTATGCTTAGCCTCAAACCCCAGCTCAATGGCTCATGCTTTCCTAAATCAGCAACACAAAGAAAGATAAGTAAATAGAGAACAAGAAGATTGCAAGTAAAAGTTCTTCTAAGCTCTAGAAGAAAATATAAAAAATTTTGTTTCCTAGAATTATTTTTTGTTCAATAAGCATAATGATATGTTGACTCTGTCAAAATTGATGGAAAAGCAATTCAATGTATAACCAGATTAACTTTAACACATCATATATGTTTTAATTTTATCAGTGCAATTATCGGTGGTTTTAACTTTATCACCTCTTCATCAGGTCAAACTAATTTTTTTAAGGAACAAAAAATGTAACCATTAGACACCGAGAACGTTTACTCCATTGGGCAATATAAAAACAAATTTTGTATGCTAGTATAAAATGACAAGAAAAAAGTTGTTCTCTTTCTAACCATACAAATGGGAAGCAAGACTGCCATTGCTCGTGTAAATGAAAAGAAGCATATGTTGTCTTCTTTCTGCCACATACCCCACCAAATCCACAAGGTTTTTGTGATGTAATCTTCCAAGTAATAAAACCTGATAACAGGAAAGGAAAGAATATTAACCATCTTACCATCTAAAATCGCCAGACAATATGTAAATCTCTGGAAGAAAAGATGTGGAAAGAACAGTTTGAGTATCTTATTGCAAATTAAAGGTTGTTAGCAGTAGAGTAATTGAATAACAGTAACCTCCCACCATTATTGCAACGAGAAAATAAAGTACAAGAACTAGTACAGGACACAGCATTACATTAATGTGTGAGAAAAATTGAAGTCTTGTACATATTACACCTTATATACACAACTCAGATGCCAGTCTGGAAGTGATCTGGAAGATTTTTATCAGTTTGAAATTCAAAATATTTGAAAGGGAAAAAAAGTTAAGATAACAGTATAATTGCATACTAAGAAATACCTTTCAAATTTAGAGATATTTTTGTTGAAAGTAAATTTTCATACTGTAAAAAATTATGAAAATGTAGTATGCACAAACCCATTATCTTCCCGCACATTATAATGTGTTTTAAGTAAAATTTCTAGAATATACCAACGATCAATTAGTTTGGTAAAGTGGTATTATGAAGTGTGTGTGTGTGTATAATATGGAAAATGAGTGAAAGATTATTAGTAAAATCCTCCATTAAATGGAGAAAGAAAGATACAGCACCACCGCGAGTTTTTGACCCAAATTAACTTTTAATGTATAGTTTAGTTTTGCATTCCCCGATATATTTTTAAGGTAAAGAATCAGTTACATTCACATTGCAGAGGATCCTTTTGGGAGGTTACATCCTTAACCAACACTATCATACAAAAAAAAAATTACTCATTCAATACAAAAACAAACTTTCAAAGTAATTTATACAGACATACGGATACAGACACATTAATAGAAACCTAAGCATATCCTCAATTATTACCTCAGTTAAAAATTCCTGTTCTCCTTGTCTTGAATTAGTACCAAGAACTTTAACTGCCACTGTCTCACCTGTGGACATCTGAGCTTTATAAACAGGACCAAATGCTCCATTGCCTATGATGGTTGTGAAATTAGAAGTAGCCTTTTGTATATATCTGGAAAAGGTGTCACAAGGTCATAGAAACCGAAAGATTTAAAAATGAGCAAAATCACAGCACTAATGGCAACAACTAAAAAGCAAAATAGAGATGTTTGGCAACTTCAGCCACTAAGATACTAATATATGTATATAAGACCCAATATATTCAATCCAAAAACCTAAAATCAACCACCTCCCCCTCTCCCCGTGCTTTTCTTTCACAATTCCACGCTGAATTATATATTTACTAATCTGTCATGTCACATAATCATTTTTTATTTCCGGATAGATTTCCTCTTATGTGCCAGAGAAGTTGCATTAGTGCAATCTCACATTTTATAATTTATAATATCTAGACAATTTTATTACGCTCTCACTTGAAGCCAAGATTTTAAAATACGGTCAGTGACCGCTATTTTGGCCTTAACGTCAAAGTTTTTGAGCCCTTTGCGCCTGCAACATGACCACAATTGCTGGTACATCAGTCACATTTGACCAGAATTTCTGCAATATCAAGAATCGCGAGAAAATCATAGCTCCAATTTAAAACATTGATTGAAGCATTAAATCTAACATTTTTTTTAATCCTCACTTTGCGTCACCGCATAGTCCTTAATTATGTCTACCATACACAATTGTTGGACTAATTTGCTTCCAGAAATCCAAAGTAGAAAAGCATATATCCAGATTCCAGAAATACTATTTTTGTACAAACGTCTCTCTCTTAAGAAAAGCATAATCTATCATACTTTAATAGTGAGTATGGTTTAAAAAGCCAAGAGATTCTAGTGGCTGCACATTAATTTACAAAAACTTACAGTCTACAAAAGCAGGAAACAATAGTGCAACAAAAGTTAACATACTTGTAAGAATACTTGGGAATTCCACATACTGACACTGCGCTCTTCTTCCTTAGTCTTTCCAACCATAGAGGCGTGTTACTCCACTCAGATGTTCTGGGAGACTCCAGGCCGTCCGATAATGTTGAGTGAGAATCAACCGCTATGGCATTAACAGGAACGGTCACTGCATTCTGAGAACTGCTCCTCCCAACCTTTGTGCGCTTCCTTCCACATATGACACATACTGCAATCGAAATTGCCAAACCCACCCCAGTCACAAAGCCTAAGCAAAGTCCTACTATCAGAGTCAAAGTAGGCCGTTTCATCTCATGCAAACTCAGAATATATTCTTGCTACTTCAGTGTCTTCCCTTGTACCTGAAAATCACAGAACTAATAAGAAACACAACCACCCAACTAATATATTCATTCGAGGGAAGGTAGGTGAAGACACTGAAAAGTTAAAAATTTTGTTTTGTTAAAAAATAAAAAAGAGGTAGCTTTTTTTTAATATGAGAAGATAGAAAAAGGATTTTGAAAACTAATTTTTTTTTATCTTTATAATTTTATATAATAATATAAATATATTAAAAAAATTGACGAGTAACCGTCTAAAAAATTTAAAAATAAAAAATAAAAATTTCTTCCCTTTCCTTCGTTCTCTTTCGAGCAAACAATATTTTAAGGTTTTAAAATACTGCCCGCGTATGAATTTCACCGACGACATGAAGGTTTTTGGACTCTCCACACAGATCACATTGACTGCATTTGTCAGCAATTATCCGCAATATCAAAGATCTAAACAGAACCGCATCATAATTTAAAACATTCCTCATTTCTCTGATTAAAATATTGCAACAGCTTTCTATCAAAGAAGATTTTTCAAACGATAAACTTACTCTAAAAAGGTGGAAGAAGGAGAGAGAACCCCACAATGCAAAAAGACTTCCGTAAGGGGAATATCTAAAATCTCAAACTTGCCGTAACTGAATAGCTCATCTCATCATCTCATCATCCCCTCAACTGGCTTAAAGCCCAAGCAATCACCACATTATGGTGAAACGAACAATCCGCTTAATAGAAACATCAAAATTTTGAAGTCACCTATTGAATATCATGATCGAAAAAATAAATTACAATAACGATAAGCAAAATGAGCTCTAAAAAATTGAATTGTCTAATCTAATTAGAAAATAAAAGTATAAGCATAACAAGGTGCATCTAAATTTAATATTAAAAATAAGTAGAGAGTTTTCTTAGAGAGGGGAGAAAGAATATTCACCATGTCAACGAAACAGAGACACAAGGGAAGGTTCAACAATGGTGAGTGAAAAGCAGATTATTGGTTTTAAGCGTATTATTGGTTTGAGTTTGACGTGTGAAAAAGTGGATCCAAGTGACGTGTCGTTTCGTATCGAGCGCCAAAAGGTACATGTTTTGAGTTTTTTTCTCCATATTTTCTATTTTCCCAAATCACCTCCGTTTGACACGTGTCCTTCTCATCAAATTAGTGTGCGCTTTAGGATAACGCGCAATCATAAAAGACAATCAATCTTCCCTTTTTTCGGCCAAATTATATCGTTACCATGTATGTTACGAGAATTTAACTTACGTTTACCGTTATTCGTTATTGTATAACTTTACTTTTTCTTGGATTCTATAACTTTTATACAAAATCATTGAATAATGATTTATTTTATGCTCTCATAATCTTATTCATTAATGTTTTAATTTTCTTTTTTAGCAATACTATATATATCATCCACTAAAAATAATGTTTGTTCAAATTGAAAAGAAGACCACTAATTAAAGAATCACAATGGCATAAAAATAGGGGGAAAAATAAGTTTTAAACTTTTTATACTCGAAGGAAAGATGGTGGTGATAGATTACTAATGACATTTTCTTTAATGTTTTTGTATTATTAATTAACAAAAAAATTGATTAAGAGAGTGTTAAAAATAATTTAATTAATGATTAAGAAAGTGTTAAAAAGAACTTCGTTAGCATTCATCAATCGGTATGACAAGTATTTCATATAGTAGCGTTTCTCATATGTATTTAAATTCAATTAAAATATATGATATTTTAGTAGTAAATTAAAATTTTATTTTCTTAGGAGAGAGGTTAAATTACATTGGTGTAATTTATACACTTATTTGTACCATTTGATAATTTTATATTTTATTAATCCAATTGTTTAATTATAATTTTCTATTAATTTGAACGTTCATGTTGAATTTTATGAAAATTCAATAACAATAAGAAAGTAATCAAGTTATTTATATTTTAGTATATTTTTAATAGTATACATTATATATGTTGATTTTGATGTATATAAGTTAATTATTAAATAATCTTGAATTAATACAAAATTTGTATATATGATCCAAGTAAAATAAATTTTAAAATCTAACAGTGAGTTTTGAAAAAATCTAATCCAATTAAAAGTTATTAAGTAGCATAATATTTGATAAAAGTTATATCGATATAATTTAATATTTTCCCTTTATTTTTCTTATAGATAGTTATTTTTAATTTATTTCACATAAATTTGCAATCTCCCTCGCAACTTTTTTTTAAAAAAAGTCTTTATCATAAATTTATTATAATAAAGTTTAATTTAATTTATACTTTTTAAAAAAGATGAGGATCGTCTAAAAAAGCACCTACCAAACAGATGAATATGCATTCAATCATATTCAAAAGTAATTCAGGAGATGTTATGCGTCTACCAAGTGGATCGAAAAGTGTTTTATTGGCATTAAACTTATACAATTTTTGTAAACTTTTTTTTTTAATTTGGGGGAGTATTTTTAAAATATGTATATATAAAAAATAAAGAATAAAAAAAAGTAAGTGTTAAATATAGACAAAATGAGAATGACTTCTTCTTTAAGTGAGAATTGAATTCAATTCACACTTCTTTATTCTCAAATCACTAGATGCTGCGTGAGGATATGGTCAACATAATGTTTCTTTTAGAGATAAAAGTTACTAAGTTCGCAAACTTCCTTGCCAAAAAAAAACCGTGTGGATTTAATTGGAAGAAATTTATTTAAGATCGGAGATAAGGATGACAATAGGCTAAAGTTGAAATGTTATATTATGAAAATAATCTCGAATAATTATGATTCTCGTGCAAGGACGTAGTGATGATGAAGTATTCACTTGGCATTGGTTCAGTTGTGGAGAAACCAGTGAAGCTTGATATCAAGATTGTGGATGAATCAAGGGGGAAGTGTGTTATAGGAAGTGTTGAAATTGACATTGATTAGCTAGTGGTGGGAAGAGCATGGTTAAGGAATCATTGTTTTCATGTATTTTCTTGTTTTTGGGTGAAAAAATCATTAATTTAATATTTAATGTGAAGATTATATGTTATGTAATAGTTGTGACTTTTATAACTATATTGTGCACAGGCCTAGGAGGTGGATCGGCCAAAGGCTTTGGAGGATACAATTTGTTTTATATGGCGCTTTACTTGAGTTATTATGACTAGCGAGACACATCAGTTGGCTATCTACTTAACATGAAGTCTATCGGTCTTGAACAATGTATCGTTATTGGTCGATCCTAGGCTTATAAGAGTAACATAGCCCCCTAGTCTTGAGTCTAAAAGATGAAAAGACTAATGATTTGAAAATTAGGTCTATCTTACAAGATCACTATGTCATTGTTTATCACATACTTATTAGGGTAGCCTTACTGTGCAATGATCGATTTGGCCAATAAAATATGATAGATCGATTACGTACCAATAAGGTTACAATATCCTTTATAGTGTGTTTTAATTGAGTCATCATAATCGACACGATAAATTAGTCGATCACCCTCTTATGATGAGCTTGATCAGCATTTGATTAACCTAACATGGTCAATCGACCCTAAACCTAGATGGGTGCAATGATAATAATAAATCATATAAAATTTTACCTAAATGGATACCAATTGGTACGTATGTCACATAGCTTGATAGATGAGATATTTGTCAATAATAAAAATATAGTCTATGGGTAGGAGTATTTAGCTCCTAGTGAGTATTCAATTCTAGGAAGGATATTTGACCTAGTAAGTGTACTTAAGGTTGTCCTGAACAAATACTTAAGAATTATGAGTTTAAATATGTTTTAAGTCCCACAAATTTAAATCGATCTTTTTAATCCCTGTAATTTTTAAATAAAAAATGTTTTAATCCTTATATTCAAATTTTATTAAGGAATCTATTAAGTACTGTCACATAAAATCTACGTTCCAGTGTTTCTATAGTGAAAACATTATATTATATCCGGATGATATTGTATAATTGTCTTAATATGTTATTTTTAGATATGTTATTTATGATCTGATGGACTAACATAATATTTTTAATTATAAGAATTAAAAAAATAATTTTAAATTTGAAAGAATTTTATCTTAAATTTGAAGGATATAAAACATATTTTAGTCAATTATTTATATAATTTATTTTTTTACGATTATTTAAGAAAAAGAATAATACTTAAAGGGATTTATTCTTGAAAATTCCTTCATCGGAGTCTACACAGCTATGCTCGCGGAGTTCAATGAATTTGGTTACTTTCCACCGTACAATCTTGATCAAATTGGACGACGAAAGAACTATTAGTGAAGCAACAAAATAAAACAACCATTAAATATCACAAGTCGGAGAAAAAATGTAGCTGGCAACAATTAAATTCCACCAATATTTATCACTATTTAAGATCAATAATTAACTGGCTAAATGATGCATACATATTTAATATAATGTACTTAATTTTCATCTTTCTTAACAAAAAATCTCAACTTTAAATGTATTGTCACTTTTTTTTTTTTTGTGAAGAGGAGGTTGTATTGTCACTTTTAATTAAACAAACATGACAAAATATAAATATTAATACACTTATAGGGAATAACATTTTCGAATTACATATCAATTATTTGAACAATCTCTTTTGAGGCATATTAATTTGAAGTTAAAGGCGTGTTTGTTATGCTTTTTTTTTAAAGTGATTTTATGAATGTATAAAAAATAATTTACTTTTAAAGATTATTTGTAAAGTATAAGCTATTTTTATTTAATTTCAATTTTAAAAGGTATTTTCTTTTATATTTAATTTTTTTACAATCTTTTTTTCTTCTACAAAATATATTCAAAGAAAATTGCAAAATAATTAGAAATTTATTTTTTATATTTAATTAATCCCTGTATATTAAATGCAAACAACCATTTTGTGCGAGAACGTTTTTAGGGGTTATTCTTTGATAGAAACATTTTAAGAGATTCTTTTAACTTCCAACTAGATAGTAGCCTCTCAATCTTATGACAAATACCATACTTAACACTGATTAGAGATAAACTTGAGTCCTCTATGATGTCTTATTATAGGCATCATATGCATATTTCTCAAGAACAAAAGAATCGTTAAATTGGATCATAGTTCAGAAGCTTTCTGATACAAAAGATCCTCATCATAAGAGAAGAGTGTAGAGTATACTTACACCTACGTAGGAGACTAATAATATGAACAATATACTATATGTTTTTAGAGAGAATGAGAAGATTAGAATAAACTCATTTTCAAAGGAAACATTTATTTTATTCAACCTATACTTGCCTTGATCCTTCTTACAATCGCCCATTTATAGAGGAGAAAGTCCGCTACAGACAAAACATATTTCATGACACTTACCTAAATTATATGACATTTGTGTAACTTCATTTATGATTAACAAAGTCTTATTGTAACTTACATGACACTTGCCTAACTTATATGACACTTTCTTAACTTTATTTGTGACTGACAAAGCCTTATTATAACTTACATGACACGTATAGTGATATGATAAGGTTTTTTTTACCTAACCTTATCTACATGACATTTTTAACATTAGAGATTCTTGCATGCTTAGAAGACACAGTTGTCACTTTAGTTTGATTTGGTCGAAAGTAAAGAGATATATTGTCTTACCTCTAATTGAGTCAGTCTCCCATATAAAGGATGATGATAAGGATATATAGTTTTATGCATTATTTATTTCATCAACTATGCATTGTAATCATCTACTTTCTTCATCTAGAATATAGATTTCTAATGTGGACTTGAAAAATCTTGTCTTTTATGAAGAACCAAAAGGAACTATCATGTTGTTGGGATAACAATCATTGGGTATTTGAGACAAACTTGCCTAATTGAGATCTGATTGTTTAGGTTGATAGTTGTTAATTTCAAATAGATGTCAAACAAGTTGAAGTTCATAGATCACGAGGATAATCTTCAAAGTTTCCCCAAAAATATACTTCATTTTTGGACCATAATTATTTGGTTGGATTTTGAAAGTAAGGACAAAACACTATAATAATTGA